GATAGATTTGATGAAAAACTTCGTCAAGATAGTAGAGATAGTCGAATAAAAGGTTGTTTAAGTCTTGCTCTAAAAGATCGAACACAATTTTTAAGTAGTATGGAAAAATTAAGTCGAGAACAATTAACTATTGAAGATTTAGATCAATTTATTAAGTTTTTTGGCGAAAGTAGTCAGGAAAATAATTTGAAAATTCACAAAGAACAATTAGATAATCAATTAAGAACAATTTTAGATGAGAAACAGAAAAATAATAATGAACTTGTAGTAACAGAACAGGCAAAATTGATTAAAATCAATTATGAAATGAGTGAAATTCAAAAACAACTTGATTATTATGTTGCGAAATTTGAAATTACTAAAGAAATTAATATTGATGATTTAATTGTCTTACTAGGAGAGAAAATTGAATTAGTTATTGCTCCTTATACTTTTTCAAAAGAGACAATTGATAAAATTATAGCAATTGGAAAAATAACAGAAAATAAAAATGTTGCAATTGCTATTGTTCAGTTTTTAAATATTTTATCTGATACAAAACAAATAGAAGAAGAAATTGAAAAAGTGTTAGCTAACATTTTACCTCAAATTCCTCAAGATGATACAGTAAACATTGTTTTGACTCTTAGTAAAAAGTTAGTAAAAATTGTAAATTATTCGAGTTTATTAAAATTTATGTATGAAATATTGATTGAGAATAAAAATAAAATTTTGAGACAAAATGCATTTAAACTTTTACAAACGTGTGAATTTTATTCAAATAATCTTAAATATATAAATCAAACAATTAAATTAGAAAAAAAATGTTTGAATAAAGATAAAAATATATTTGAAGATTGTTTAGAACAAGTAAAAATTCAAAATAAATTAACATTAAATTGTTTTGAAGAATTAATAAAAGATTTTTCTGTAAATGAAATTAGTAAAATAATTGAACAGATTATTGAACAAGATATACAAAAGATACCAAAATTTTTTATTGAAAAATTTCTTGAATATCAAAAAATGTCTTGTTCAGATAAGAATAGTCAAACAACAGCAAATATAATGAGTATTAGAAAGTCATTGATTCGAGGAAAATATATTAATTTAACACAAATTCAAAATATTGAAGAATTAATTGATCATCCAAACGTAAGCAATGATGTTTTTGATATTTTGTTTGCTGAATTTACTAATGGAAATAATATTTCAAATGAAATTATTGAAAAAGTTAAACGTACAGCAATAACTAATGAATATGCAGAAAATTTGATAAAATTAATAGATAAAACGTCCAGTAGTATTGATATATTAAGAAATCCGAGAAAACATTTAATAGAACGAAAAGACGCTCTTGATAATATTGTAAATGATAAGCGAAATCATACACCGTATGCAGCGAAAATATTACAAATACTTATTAAAAATGATAATGATTTAAGAGAAGATTGTTTTAAAGCATTGATAACAATATTGCCAATTGATTATACAAAAACAGATTTTAAAATTGATTTAAATGAAATAGCAAAATCTATTTATGATTGTAATATTAGCATAGAAAATCTTGCTATTTTAGTATATAAGGACAAAACAGCAGATTTATCACCTATTTTGCCTATAATAATCGATCGAATTGTTGATCAACAAGTCAGTGTACTGACTTTATTAGGTGAAATATCTTGTTTTGAACAAGGAGATAAACTTATTGGCAGTCAAATTGAGAATTTATTGAGTATAGCTTCTGATACAACTAATAATGAACTTCGAATTAAAATTGTGAATATTATAGAAAACAGTATAAAAAGTAAAGAAGATCGTGATAATATTGAAATTTTAAAACGAAATAAAATTGATGAAACAGAAATTAAATCTTGCTTGACTAATGAATTACATGAACTAAATAGTTTATCAAAATTAGATATTAATAAGGAAATGTTACAGAATTTAAACAAAAATATTCAAGAGCAAGGACATTCAATTACTGAAGATAAAATAATTTTGTTAATTGAAGCGTTAGTAAATTCAAAATATGAAAATCTTCAACAGCAGATAAGCGAAACATTATTACAAATAGATATTGAACAAGGTTTAAACAATAAGGCTAGAACTATTTTATATGATTTAATAATTCAAAATTCAAAACTTATCAGTATATCGAGTATCGTATGTATTGTGACCATTGCTCTAAGTAGAAGTGATACAGAGGTACCTGATAAAATAATACAAAATTTATGGATACAATTTGAAAGAGAAAATATAGAAGATGAGACATTTATGCATAGTTTAATTTATGCTGTAACAACACTTATTGCTAAAAAAGAACAAGAAATACCTAAAAACATATTGAAAAGAGTAGCCAATGTTTTAACAAATAAAAGAGATGATATACAATTAAGAATTGCTTGTGCAAATATTTTATCAAAAGAGATAGAACAAAATCTCAATTATGTTGAGATATCTCGATCACTTATTAAATCATTGCAAGTAGTAGCATTAGAATCGAGAAACAATAAAAATGAAGATATATTGAATAAATTTATTTTTCAAATATTAGAAAAATCTGCTAAAGAAAATGATTTATCAGATCAGTTTTTCATCGAGTATTACGATAAACTTAAAAAACGGGCAATAATTTTAGAAGAAAATTTGAGTAAACAAGATTCTTTAGCACAATTAAGCCGATTAGATGCATATATTTTAACAGAATCAAATAATTTAAAAAAATTTCATCTGTTAAATACGCTTAATAGTACACTTGTAAATTGTCAAAATATTGACATGACAATTTTTAATCAATTTGATTCGAGTGAATGGGAAAAAGAAATATTATGTAGTGAATTATTAACAGGAATATTTAAATTAATTTCACAAAAAGATGAAGGAATAAATGAATTTGAATTAGACAAATTTCGAAAAAATATTAATTTAGTAGAAATTAATCTAACAAAAACTATATTAAAAATATTAATTGATAAACAAAATATTTATCAATTTGATCTTGAATCTGTTAACGATATTTTATTCATGTTATTACAATTAGGTGGAAAAAAACGAATTAGTCACTCAGAGTCACTCACATCCGCACAGAGCCACGAAGAGACACTCATAGCCACTCAGAACCACTCGAACACATCTGAATGTGTGTTTTCGCCCTTGGATAGCTCCTTAGACGAAACAACGATTATCATCGCTTTGAATATTTTACAAAAGAAAGATGATAGTTTTTTTCTAGAATTACAAGAATTATGGTTAAGTAAAAGATTTGAACATTTTAAAATAAAATTTAATGATGAAAATTTAAAAATATTGAATACATATTTAACATTCAGATGTGAAATAATAAATCATATTTTAAGTAAAATAAAAGAAAATACAAAAATTGAAGAATTAATTGAATTTTTTGTAATATTAACAAATTGTGGTTTAACACAAAATAGTTGTGAAAATTTTTTAGTAAATGAAATTGTTCATAAAACAAATATTAAAAATTGGCAATTAAAATTAAATGATAGATTAGTAGGATTACATTTAACGAATGAATATCCAATCTATAGTAATTATCTTAAAAATATGAACAATTATAAATTGGCACTATCAAAAAATGTTGTATTTACTAAAAATGCGTATAATCAAGCAAATACAACATATTCGTACAATGCAAATGATATTGTACAAATATCTTCAGAATGGATGAAAGATTTTGCTAATAGTTTTAGAATTACAAAAGCGTTAGATCAACAAGTTGACAGAAGTTTACGTGATATTTTAACGAAAATTTTAATTGAATATAAACAAGATCAAAAATCGACAATTATTCCTTTAAATATTGTCGATAATCATTGGATTGTTTTGACAATTATTCATCATCAAAATAAGGATATCGCATTGTATAAAGATTCGTTAGGTGAAGATAATTTTGTTAAGAAAAGAGAAGAAATACAGAAGATATTACTAGAGAAATTTGAAAATATTATTTTTAAATTTCATAAATCTTGTGATCAGTCAGATTGTTATAATTCTGGAGTATTTGTTCTAGCCAATATGAAGATTATTGCTAAACAATTGATTGATAATAAAAAATATTTTATTGAAAATTATGAAATGAATAATTTTATTAGTGAAAAGGGAGTAATAGAACTTCGTCAAGAAACATTTCCAAAGATGTATGCTTTAAGTATATGTCAGTTATATAAGCGAAAAAAAGTTGTTAATCATCATTCTGTTGAACTGAAATTAATTCAGAAATTACTTGAAGAGAAAAACGACATTGTAAATTATTCGATAGTTAAAGAAAAAGAAAAGGAACTTGAAAAAAATGAACTACGATTATCAATTGAATTACCTGAAGAAGAAAATTTAGTAAAAAAGAATTATCAATATTTGTATGTAATTGAAACTTCAAAATATTTGAATTTTGATCATAGTAGTGATTTAAGAAAGAAAATTATAGCTATTCTAGGCATAAAAGAAATATATTCTGTAGAAGAAAATGTTGTTAAGATATTAGATCAAAAATTAACAGTTCTTAGTAAAATACAACAGAAAAAATTAGATCAAAGTGAATTAACAATTAAAACATCTGATAGTGAACTGAAAGGATTATTAGACGAATTGAGTGTTGATTCTAA